TAGCATTTAAAGCACTTTAGCAAAATGTGTACCCAATGTGAACCGCGTATATGTCTTCCCTTTTTTATATTTGTGACAAATGTCACATTTATGCATATGTTCGGACATGGCTCACATTGATATCACCATACAAAGAGTTCCTATTTTCTTTAATTATAAATAAAACGTTGTGACGAAAATATAGTGTTATAAAGTATGAATATAGAGCTATAATAATATGAACTGCGGAAATTAATAACTACGTTTTCATAATTATAGAAAACAATTACTTATTTACGGAATATTACATCACGATTACGACGTATCAATTTTTTCACACAAACAAAATAAATAATATAATCTATGAATCGATACAATCGAATCATACTGATCGTCTGTGCGAATTTTATCATCTGTTAAATTAATTATATAATTATATACAAATAGTAAATGGCCAATTTTAAAAAACTGGGCCCAAATTGAGCCCAGTTATCTTATTACCATTTAATGCTTTCTCTTTCTCGTTCTCTTGTTTATCCTCCTTCTCCTTCCTCTCAAAGAGCTATTTATGAACTCATGCTAAATTATGATTATGTCTGATTATTGAAATGTAATGAGTTCGCGCGACACTTTACACAGCATTCCCAAGAAAACAGAAAGATAGTTGCTTAAAAATATAGAGTAGACCGGGGAGTAAAGTGCCATTTTTGACATTTTTTGCTCTAAAACAAAGAATATTTAAGTCACCAGATCGTGTTGCTATTTATCAAAACTAGAGATCTTTAACTATACGGAAGGCATGCAAAAAGTATGCGCATATAATTGATTAAAAAGATCCTATAAATTTTGCAGAGGAAGTCATTCGGCACTTCTTATACCCCGTATGCGAGGCAAGAAGTTCCACATAATGGTGAAAAAGTACCATACTTCTATATCAAGTTTGAACTATTCTAAGAGATCAAAATAGGTACTTACTAGAGAATTTTTTTTATTATAAAGCACTGGCCTAAGTGGGTTTGGTTAAGTAATAAAATTACAATAAAAATGGAACAAAAGATACAATTAAAATGTCAATCTCATAATACAAATAGTAAATTATTAGGATTATTTTTAATAAAAATGCAACTAAAAATCTCTCGGTAATTATTCAGAATGCACTTCACCTTTGATTTTGATGAAATTAGACTCATTCGATGCGTTTTTGAGTCATTACACTTTATTACTTTAACAGAATTCCTAACCTGAATAGATCAACTTTAACGCTTATAATATCTCAGTTTGTAAGACCGATCCGGTTTTTTCTTACAGATTCTTTGCGCTTCGTGCAAAAATGCGTCGGAAGTGAAGGCCGTATTCTAAATAATTATCAATCTCTGTGTAAAAAACACCGTTAATGCCGATTCTATAATAAATCAGTAGTAGGAAGTCTTACAATTAGTTTTAATCGGTGAAGTTAATCAATCAGCATTAGTCGTACAAATTGGCTATTTGTCAATTTCATATAAGACCTAGGATTACCAATTTACTCATTGTAAAATCAGCATTTAAGGATAACAAGAGCAATCTTGGCACTTTTTACCCTAGTAATACAAATAAACTTTTGCTGCAATGTTATTAAAAAAGTATAATATGTATAATAAAAATAACCGTTTTAATAATCGCACTATTAAAACAATACAATAAGATTAATAAATACATACTTAATCTAGTTGCAAAAATGATTCCTTCAGACTAAAATAACTGCGACGTTAATATTTTACTTTTGGCGACGTTAATATTTTATTTTTTAAACGCACGGACACGTCCGCTTAAGCTTCCTGCGACAGTTATTAAGCGGCAACAAACTGTGTGGCGTGAGATTTCCACTTTTAGTTGACGAATGATGTGACGGAATTTTCTAATATAAATACACTATCATCGAAAAACAAGGGTGAATATTTATCCCCGGGAAACCTTTACTCCTCTACCCTACACTATTCAACAAAATTAAAGGATCATCTGTTCCACCATACAAAAATAGGCAAATTTCAAAGTAGAATAACTGAAAAAAATCATCATATCGAGATATTTAAAAAAGCATGTTACAGCTTGAAATCTCTACTTTTCAAATCAGTACTTCAAAAATCTTACTAATATTTTGTGAAATTATACAAACATAAATAAAGACTCCAAAGACATCAAACTCAAAATTTTTTTTGAAATTTGCAAAGTTTCACGAGACGAATTAAAAATTGCACACAAATGCGGTTTACATCATTCGAAAAAATAAATCTTTATTTTTAATTTGTTTTTTTATGAAACCTTTTTTGTGACGAACCTTTGTACGATTTTTTTTCTCCGAGTTATTCAGCATTGAAGCAAAAATGACTCTTTCTGCTTCGATGTTGAGTAACTCGATGAAAAAAAATCGTACAGAGGTCAATAGAAAAGCAAATTACAACTAAAGATTCACTCTTTCAAAAACTGTAAACCGTATTTGTGCGTAATTTTTAATTCATGCTGTAATATTTCGCAAATTTCGTAAAAAAATTTGAAATTTGATGCATCTTTATTTATATTTGTGTAACTTTATAAAATATCAGTAAAACCATTTTCTAAAGTATCGATCTAAACAGTAGAGATTTCAAGTTATAAAATGCTTCTTTAAATATCTTGATACGATGATTTTTTACGAAGTTATTCTATCTTGAAATTTGCCTATCTTTATATAGGATAAAACATATATGATCTTTTAATTTTGTTGAATAATTAAGTGTTTTCTTTAAACTAATTGATTTATCTCATTATTCTATAAAGATATTCAATTGCGATTATTGAAAAATTTATAATAATTTACAAGATATTTTATATTTGATGTTAAAATGTGCTAGAATAAAGCTAGTGTATATAAAGTATCTTATACTATTAATTTTTAATTTAACTTTAATTTATATGCAGACAACTAGAAAAATCATATAATTATAATGTAAAAAAAATTATATAATTCTAATAATATAATTCTAATTAAAAAAAAAAAGTAAACGTGACCCGCAAATTCAAAGTTGCTCCACAAAAGTAAATAAAAGAATTAAACATCATCGTATGTTATCTTCAATATTAAACAAACGATAAATAACAAAAGTGTACTTTGCTTAGTTTTAAAAATAATGATTTGTAATCTTTAGTAGGACACATTGTATACATACATATATTAAAAATTAAAAAAATTGTAATTATAATTTATATTCTCAAATTTAATTTTGAAATCACGAAACAAGTATGTCTATAAATAAAATAGCGTCATTTTCTATCAATAAATTTAGATTAATGACCAGCGATAATAGGCATTAAAAAGTGACAATCATCGACGATAATAGACGATAAAAAACAAGCAAAAATATTAAACCAAGAGCGTTCTCTAGATACGTATAGAGACGGTGATCACTGCGATTTGCTAGAGAATCTTACATATATAAATAAATGTTAAAGTACACGTTTCATTAAAGGCTTCAAGAGATCAGCATAATGTACGATAAAAAAAAAATAAAACTGTAATAATCACTGGAGCAGCTGCAGGATTAAGCTACGTCGAAATATTGCTTCGCAATGGCATGTTGCCAATGGCTCTCTGATAACAATAGTATTTTGTCAACCAGAAAAATTACACCTAATTTCTGAGTTGGGATAATGAGAAAAATAATTTAGATAATGTCCTAAGAAGGTGAGTTTGTACTACAAATTATAAATAAGTTATTGATTTACATCTAGGAAGTTTAAATATTTGCCACCTTCTCAAGTGTAAATTTGAGTCTGGAATACAATCTTATAATTTTATTGATACAACTGTTACAGACTACACATACATATATATATTCCTGTAAATGTAAAGCATGTATAATTTACATCTTTTTCCATTATTGCTTAGTGATGAAAATGTATTTTGTATTTGTTATACCTCATTCACAGAATGGTACATGGATATAAATTAATTAGATTTAATTTACATAATTATGTTATGGGCTAAATATATAACAAAGACATGTAACAAAGTTATCGTATCAAGATATCTCGTTTACGCCATAAAGTTACGCTGTCTTGTTATAAAACAGAGACATCTATATAATATATGACAAAGAATTATATAACAATGCCAAGTCATGTTTGCTAGGATGTAATTGCATATAGCATAATGCAAAATTTTTTAAATAAGTAACTAAGTGTTTTCTTTACACCAATTGATTTATCTCATTATTCTAAAAAAGTATCAAGATGCGATTATCCAAAAATTAATAGTTTACGAAACATTTTATATTAAATGTCAAAATGTAGAATAAAGAGGAAAATAGTAATATTAATTTTTCGACTATTTTACTTTAATACTTTTATATGCAGAATAACTAGAGAAATTACAATGTAAAAAAATGGTATAATTCTAATTTAAAAAAATAAATATAACCTGCTAATCTACAAAGCTATAAAATAGGAAACAAAAAAACAAACATCATCGTATAATGTTATCTTTAATACTAAAATAATAACAAAAGTACAAAACAAAAATGTTATACTTTGCTTAGTTTTAAAAATAATAATTTGTAACACACATATACAATACACACACCATATACAATATAACATATTAACCGTATATGTGATAACACAAACTATAGAAATCAAAGCCTTAAACGGTCTAGCTGGATTTTAAATGCTTGTATGATTCTGGCGATAAATGATAAATTTATATACTACGTATGTAGTCCCCAGAAACGTGCACCAAAATGATTTTTCGGTCTTTGAAAATGCTAACTCTAATATACATATATTTGAATTTAAACAAAATTGTAATTAAAAATTATAATTTATCTTCTCACATTTATGTTTGAAATCACGAGATAAGAGTTTCCGTAGATAAAAAATTTTCCACCGACAGATTTAGTGATTAATCACAAGCACTACAAGCGATAGTCATCAACAATTATAAATAAGCGATAAGGAAAGATATTAAACCAGAAGCAATCTCTGTACAGAGACAGTATTCATCGCGATTCACTAAAGAATCTTACACAAGAAAGTTACATAAGCTAAAGTACGATTCATCAAAGGCTTCAAGAGAACATAATGTATGATATAAAGAATAAAACTGTAATGATTACTGGAGCAGCTACGGGATTAGGCTACAAGTATGCCGAAATACTGCTTCGCAATGGTATAAAAAGTGTTGCTGTGGTCGACCTGCCAACGTCAAACGGCCAGAATGCTGTGGCTACTTTGGAGAACAAGTTTGGAAAAGGCCGTGCCATCTTCGTTGCCTGCGACGTCACGAAAGCTGATGATTTTGAGAAGACATTCAGGAAGATCGTCGACACGTTTAAAGGACTTGATATTCTTATCAATAATGCTGGTACATTTAACGATAATTATTGGGAGAAAACGATCGATCTCAATGTCAAGGCAGTAATTCGCGGCTCTATGTTGGCATTTGACTATATGGGAAAGCATAAAGGCGGCAAGGGTGGTTTAATCGTGAATATTGCATCCGTGGCTGGATTGGACCCAATTTCTGCTATGTCAATGTATTGCGCTTCGAAATACGCTGTTCTAGGATTCAGCCAGTCTCTAGCAAACATGTATAACAAGACTGAAGTGCGAGTTGTTATCATGTGTCCGGGCGCTACAATAACAGCATTGATAGAAAATTTCAGAGATAGAATCCATGATTCCATTCGCGCTGTACTAGGTAGTGATATTCCGGATATAGACAAAATACCGAAACAAACAACTGACCATGTGGCACTTGCGATGTTAGATCTCATTCAGAAGGGTAAAAACGGAGCGGCTTGGGTCGTTAACTATGGTAAACCTCCAAATGCCGTGCACTTTCCTCCTTTTTCCGAACGACTTCTGTCTGTCTAAGTTGGTATTTGATAACTGTTCTTACTTTGTTTTAATCAATTTACAATGACTACCAAATCAATTATGTATACGCAATTATATAAAATAATGTCAATTTTAAAAGTAAACAATATAATATTATTAATCGCATCTTTACATGAAATTAATAAAATTATATTGTTTATTTCATGTGTAATAATTAATATTAATAAAGTAGATATTCGTACTTGCTATCATCATAATCTTAAGATATTATTAAAAGTCATATATAATTTTATATAAATTTATTATTAACAATATCCGTTTCAATAAATGGTATATTCTATAATTTCTTTCTTACAATTACAAAATATTAAATTCACTAAAGATAAGACGATTGAAATTTGGAAAATATTAATTTAAAAAATAAAACATGTGTGTGTGGCTTTAATAAATAGTACAAGATAAATTCTAAAAGTTTCTCAAGAAATAATTTTTAATTATAGCTCAATGAATATCCATTTCAATAAATACTTGCTTATAGATCATTGATCAAGAAAATATTAATAATTCGCATCGACCGATAGTTTTTAATCGTTTATGAAGTGTGATTGCATTTCGATATACTGAACGCCGATACTTTCGTGCTTGATTGTCAGTGAACGAATGTAAACGAATGATAACCGTGATGACCTTAAATGGCGTCACATAGTTGTGACGTGCGCTAAGTTTTATTTTTGTCAACTATTATGAAATGTAAATGAAATATATGCCAAATATTATGTATTCCATGTAATAGACCTAACACCCGTATCAGACTAGAGATTTTGAAATTGAGATTGAATTTTATCAAAATGAAATTTACTCAACTTGATATACATATAATTGGTTTCTTTTTTCTAATTGGTTAAATTCAATCACCTCCGGGATTGTAATTGTTCCTTCTCGTCCTTCTGTTTCTCCTTTTTTCCTCCTTCTCAAAGATATTAATCTCGCACCCATAAATTATGATTGCGTCTAATCATCGAAATGTAATTCGCGTGGCACTTTACACAGCACTCCCGGGGAATATATAGTTAATTTAAAAAAAAAAAAAAAAATTAAGGATTCAGTTTTGAGAGTTATGGGCCTTTATTTCATATTTCCTATTGATTGTATTTTTCCATGTACGGTTCAATAACATTCTTATTGTTCTTATTGTTTATAAAAATAATTTAGTTGCATATTGCAAAAAAACGCATAATTTTTTTAAATAAGCACCTATGTATGTTTTCTTTATACCAATTGACTTATTTCATTATTCTATAAAGGTATTAAGATGCAATTATAAAAAAATTGATAATTTATGTGATGTTTTATCAATAAAGAAGTATAAAGTCAATGAGAGCCGACACATTATTAACATTTTACTTACTAACGGTTATAAGGCTGATTTTTAAAAGCATTAAAAAAAGACTACACACTAAAGTCGAACAACTTAACAAGAACATACCGAAAGAATAGTGCCAATTACAATTTAATTACATATTTTACTGTTCCCTACGTGCTTTCAATAGTGGAAAAATTCAAAAGATTTTTCAAAAATAACAGAGCGGTGCGTTTGGTTAAATAGGAATTAATAAATTAAATATCTTTATAAGAACACAAAAGGATAAATTACCGTCACTATCACATTCTAATGTAATCTACAAAATTAATTGTCAAAATTGTGATGCATCTATGTGAACCAGACGAAACGATTATTAAAGACACGTATTAATAAACATCGAAATCACATAAATAAGAATACCATACAACACTTTGTAATCACAGAGCATAGAATCGAGTAAAAGCACGATTTTAATTGAAAGGACATCAGTATTTTAGACGAAGAACAAGGATTTAATAAAAGACCAATTTCGGAAGCAATCCATATAAAAAAACAAAAAATGGACTTAATCTGCAAAATGACACGGAATTGTTGGATACGTTATACAATGATTTAATTTAAAGGAAATGTGTTCTTGTTTTGTAAATTATAAATTTGTATCGTCGAGTTTTTTTTGCATTGGTATATATATTTATTCTATTTAACTTTTATACTTATAAACAATCGCGAATGAGAAACGTCCTCTCACACGCTCTCAAAACTAGTTATATAATCACATCGGGTTATCGTTATGCTAAGTACTGTAAGGTTTATCTAACTGATACAATCAATTTCAATACATTGACTACGATTAACATTTCAAAAATTTCAGATATTAACTCGATTTTGTACAACGGACGATAATAAAGTTCTTAATTTTAGACAACAGTCTAACGATGATTTATTGACAGCATTTGCCTATTGTTTTACAACGTATCAATTTGATGTTTTACATCGTATCAGATAATTTTATTGTTACACTGAAGAAAACCTAATCTTATGGTCGAAACGTTCGTAATTGGTGATTGACATATATATTATTGTTGATTACACACGTACAACTATGTCGGCTCTCATTGACTTTATACTCATTTATTGATTTAATCTTTGGAGCCTTTTTCAATTATATTGAGATATTTGATGTCAAAATGTGCCAAAATATATATAAGTGTAAAATATCTCGTAATGTTAATATTTCAATTTATTTTAATTAATTAACTTTTATATGCAGGATAACTAGAGAAATCATACAATGTAAAAAAAATTGTACAGTTCTAATTAATTAAAACAAAGGTGATTTGATAACCTTCGAAGCTACTTCACAAAAAGCAAATAAAAAAACAAACATCATGAAATGAGATTATCTCAAATATCAAACGGGTGATAATAAAAATGTTATACTTTGCTTAGATTAAAAAATAATTTGTAAACATATAGATAAGATTGGATTCAATAAGATTGGAAATATAATTTATAATACGATCAATATTATAGATTCTGTATACATATATTTAAATTTTAAAAGATTGTAATTATAATTTATTTTTTCAAATTTATTTTTACGATTATGAGACAAGTATTTTTGTAAATAAAAGAACATTATTTTCCATAAACAAGGTTCAGTGGTTAATCACTAGTGATAATAGGCGTTACAAATAGCGATAATCATTGCGAATAATAGACGATAAAAAAACAAGCGATAAGAAAAAAATATTAAACCAGGAGTGCTCTCTGTATAAAGATGTTTATCGCATTTCGCTAAAGAATTATACATCAATAAACGTTAAAGTATACGTTTCATCAAAGACTTCAACAGATCAACATAATGTATGACGTAAAGAATAAAACTGTAATGATTACTGGAGCAGCTGCAGGATTAGGCTACAAGTATGCCGAAATACTGCTTCGCAATGGTGTAAAAAGTGTTGCTGTGGTCGACCTGCCAACGTCAAACGGCCAGAATGCGGTAGTTACTTTGGAGAACAAATTTGGAAAAGGCCGTGCCATCTTCGTTGCATGCGACGTAACGAAAGCTGATGATTTTGAGAAGATATTCAAGAAGATCATTGACACATTTAAAGGACTTGACATTCTTATCAATAATGCTGGTATATTTAACGACATTTATTGGGAGAAAATGATCGATGTCAATGTCAAGGCAGTAATTCGCGGCTCTATGTTAGCATTCGACTATATGGGAAAGCATAAAGGCGGCAAGGGTGGTCTAATCGTGAACATTGCATCCGTGGTTGGATTGGAACCAAATCCTTATTTAGCAATGTATAGCGCTTCGAAACACGCTGTTGTGGGATTCAGCCGGTCTCTGGCAAATATGTATAACAAGACTGAAGTGCGAGTTGTTATCATGTGCCCGGGCGTTACAGTAACAGCATTGGTAGAAGATTTCAGGGATAGAATCAATGATTCCATTCGCGCTGCGTTAGGTAGTGATATTCCTGAATTGGAGAAAATTCCGAAACAAACAACTGATCATGTGGCACTTGCGATGTTAGATCTTATTCAGAAAGGTAAAAACGGAGCGGCATGGGTCGTCCAAGATAATCAACCACCATGCGCTATGGATTTTTCCCCTTATTTCGAGCGACTTTTACCTATCTAAGTTGATATTTAATAACTTGCTCTACGTTGTTTTGATCAATTTATATGACGACTATTAAATCAATCATGGTATATGCAATTATATAAAATTATATCAATTTTATAATAAACAATATATTATTATACAATTTTGTTAATCATATCTATAATTAATATTAATAAAGCCTTCACACTTATTATTTTCATGTTTAAAATGTTTAAATGTATCATATATCTAATTTTATATAAAATTATTATTAACATTTATTAACAATTATTATTAGCAATATTAACATTATAGAAATAAAAATACAGATATAAAAATAATTAAAATGATTAAAGAAATTTTTCCAAAATTATAGTTCAATCATCGGTTAAGTAAACAATTAAATTATAAATAACATATTAAATAATTATGGTCATTTTATTACTGATTACTATCATTATTTTTATTACATTAATTTTACAAAAGAAAAAATGATGTATAGACATATTTCATATATAATTATCCATGTTTATAAATATTTATGCGTATTTCTGTACGTTTATACATATTTATATATATTCCTAAATGAAATATTTTTTACCGAAATTTAAAAATAAATTAACTGTCCTAAAACAGAAATTATCTTCTTACATTATTTTTGTTTTTAAAACAATAAATTTACTATTAAAAAACGTTGAAATCGTGTTTTAGAGCAGAGAATTTATTTCAAAGTAATAAATTTGTATTTTGAAAGCAAGACATTTGTGTTTCAGAACAGGCAATTTGTATTTAAAGCGGTGAATTTATGTTTGTAAAGCAGTGAATGTAATGTCTATTACAATAAGAAATACAACGCATTTGCACCATAGCCATAGAGCACGAAAATATGACCTCAGCGCGTGCTCGCATCGCAGTATTTCTTTTGGCATATTATTTTGGCTGACAGATTTCCTAATCCGAATAATCAGCAACTTTAACTTAAAATAATTTCAAATTTCGGTTCACGAAGCAGAGCGATACTTTTTTCTTGTCAAATCTTTACAAAATAAATAATGTTTAATTAATCTCTGATTAACATGTCAAAGTACGTAAAAATCGAAGTTTCGGGGATTGAAATAGAGTGAAATGGATCGTGTTGCTAAATCAAAAATTCGGATTTTTTGGACACCGAGTACCTATGACTCTGCTTATTATTTCTATTTCCACTCTGCTACTATATACACAAGACACTCGTATTGACTTTCATATTGATATTCGTTCGAAGGCAGATAACATACAGAATATAAAGAAGTGTCGGTTAGAGTGCTGATTAAAACTGTACCCATTGGAAAGAAAGTTAAAACGTATCAAAATCTTATTTTTAATTCTCCGATCGTATTGTATTGTGTCAATAACTCCTGGTTTTACGATATAATGTCAGAGGCGAAGCGTACGACCGAAGGCAATAAACTTGATGTTAAATATTTGGACTCGCCTGACAAATCGGAGTATGATATGGCCGAATATAGGTGAGATTGGGGTGGAGACTCAGGAAAAAAGGCGATTTCAATGGAAATATGTGTGAGACATATTATTAACTGCGATGATAATCTTTTAAGAGGAATGTTACAATGTACTTTCTACTTAAAAAAAAAATTAAATATTTTTATATGATCCTCAATAATTTCTAATTTCATTGTTATTAAAAAATTTATTAAGATAATAATATTGGAGATGGATTTATGAAATCATAAAAAAAGTTTATCTCTTCAAAACTGCGTTCAGAAAACTGCGGTCACTTCGGAGATTTGGTGTCACCCGAAGTTTTATAGGCCGATGTGTTATATAAATCTTCATATGGTTCCTCCTCAGATATTCCAAATATCAAACAAGTAAGTAATAACCTGGATATGTAACAGTTATACTTATACATTATATTGTAGTAGTACCACGATTGATATCTTGATCCAATATACATATACTATAATGTCTAACTTGTAATTATCACGTGTTATGATTTTTACTAAAATAATAATGCTTAAAATAATTTATTAATAAACAAAATTCATATTAATAACGTTTCAGTGCTATTTTCCTGGATTTGTACTGCACTGTATTAAAATATCTATTGAACGAAAAATTACATCCAGCGGTAACGGCTGGACTTAATTACATATACTATCAATGTCAGTAAGGAAGCTGTAGGTATTATAATACAATTGAGCGGATTTGACGAAAAATTACTGGTAAGTATACGTTTAATGCGTGTTCACTGATCGAGTTATACATATAATTTGGAAATACATAAATATTTTATTTATATTACAGACCTTGTTGACGATTATTGCAAATTATATGGTCGATTTTAATAAACTTGTTTCGGAGGACTTGTTTGAAATTATAAAAAGGCATCAACTCAAAGCATATTACAACAAATTTTTGAAACCTGAGGAATTCATCGAGTATCATCTGTTTATTATCAAGCATAATTGCATCAATTCTAAAATTCTTATATAACTAGAAAAAATAATTAATGATGAATATTAATTATAACAATTAATATTATAAAATGAATTATATTTATTTCTTATGTCATTTCCGATTAATAATATCGCATATTTCTTTCGCAGGGATGTGGAATTATGGATACTAAAGTATCAGTACTATCCAGACATTCACAAGTATAATTATCTAAGTAAATTAATTAATTTTTCAAACTTCCAAAACTTTACAAAGATCTTAACCAATACTATGTACTTTCAATGTCTTGTGCAAGGTAACATAACGAAAGATTTTACGATCAAAATTATACAACGATTTATCAACAAAATTAATTATTGTCCCTTGCGTGATGCTGATAAGCTACGGCTTATTGGAGTCATTGAAATATCCGAAGGCACATCTTATTGCAAGTTGAAAAATATTAACCGAACTAATGTAAACTCGGTAGTGACAAATTATTATCAAGTCGGTATTGCTACGATTGAATTATCGGTGTTAATCCAGTTAATGCTCGTAAGTATTTAATAACGGTCATATATTTAAATACATGAAATCTTCAATTTATATTTATTTTTAATAGTAAATAAAATGTGAATAACATTTCCGATTACCATGATTGGTTTTATTTGCACGTCACATTCATCTGTTAAATAATTATTTACAATATGACTGGAAATAATTCATTTTCAAAATAATTATCTTTTAGATGATAATAAAACAACCATTAATAAATCATCTACGAACTCAAGAAAAGATTAGTTTTGTTTCGTGCAATCTTAGAGATATCAACGGAATGTTAGGATATTCTATTACTGCTTACACTCAGGCAGAAAAGTACACAACTGAATATGTTGACCAACTAATCGAGGGATTTCTGAATACGTTCAGTATCATGTTGAAACAGTTCTCAGAAAAGAAATTAAATGATATCAAAGAAAGGCTGAGAATTTTGAAGCAATATGACAATGCTGAGCTTCTGAACGAAGTTAATAGAAATTGTAGTGAGATCACGAAGCGGCAATATATGTTTGACAGATGTGAAAAGGAAGCGCTTGCAATAGAGAACGTAAATATCAATATGCTAAGAGAATGGTTTGGAACACTGAACGCAAGTAATTTCAGAAAATTGAGCATACATGTAGTAGGAACTGATCCGAAGGAAATTACAGTCAGTAAGCAGACATTTATTCTTATCAAATTTTGGTCATTGTCTAAATATTTCTTTTTATATTATGACATTATTCTTGCCTTCCATTTCTTTCTTGTCACATTAAGTTGAAATTGCTAAGATTAAAAATTAAAATTTTAAAGATTAATTATTGTAGATGCAGAGAATCGTAGGTATGATGAGTACTCTACTACGGAATTTATAATTGACGATACACAGTGCAAAGACGGTCATCATATTACTGACGTAGATACGTACAAAAATATTCGCCTATCTCGTGTATCAATATTATAACTGATGAAAAGATTAATTCTGGCATTCTTAAAATGCTTAATAAGCGATATTTAAACAAAAATAGTGATAAAATTGTGAATATTACTGTTTCAAACTTCTTGTCATTTTAATTTATTATATTTAATCAATTATATTTGATTTTATAGAATTATTATATTATTCATTTTATTATATTTTATACTTAAATTTTATTAGCAACTTACTTAGTATGTTTTCCAATTTTTTCTATTTAATATCTAGATTTGTTGCAATAATGCACGTTTTTATTTAATTTATTTACAAAAAGTGTACATTACACATTTACAATATGCGATATAAAATATATTATACTCTTTAATTTATTTACAATGATGCTATTTGATTGCTATCGTCGCCAATATTTTGTTATGGAATATTTCGATGATATACGTTTATAATTTTTTCCTGACATATGAAAATTGCTTTCTTATTTGTTCGATTAGCAATATCGTGCATTGGCTCATATATTACAGAATTGCAATGACATGAAATTATAGAACTGTTACTATATTAAAGTACAATGTAGATTTGCAGCGCTGGAATTTTTATTTTTGATATCAATGAATTTACTAATATTTATTTTTAAAAATTAGTTTTTTCAATTTAAGAGATTTCTTATTAGAAATGTAAATGTACTTAATTTATAAATTTAAACTATCATAAAGAACTCTTAATGACAAAACAGTATGACGATAAGAAAAGGCATGTAAGAGTCAATCATAAAACTGTACAATATAACGAATTATTACATAAAATATATTAAGCTTTAAAATTCAAATATAAATAAAAATTATATATAAAATTGATTTTACATATCTCGGCTTCCTGATTGAGCCATCTTCAGATATTCGATTAAACGCTGTAATATAATTAATTAGAAATGCAATGATACATACATATAAACGGATAATGATATACAACTATTAGATAAGGTCAGATAAATATTTTATCGAGAGAGACTGTTCTCAAATAGGTTGAATGATCGATTGTTGGAAATTTCTTGATATTCTAAAACCAAATTAAAAAAAAAATTGATTAGAGTATATCAATAATGTAAGCAAACCGTCACTTTAATAAAAGACTCAATGTAAAGATATTTATCATTATGTATCGCATAATGTTAAGATGCTCGTTCATTATTTTTTTCGTCAGTGAGATTATGTATAAATGTACCGTCAAAAACAGAATATAAATCTTGGTCAAAAAGTTAAAATTAAAATTGTATAATTGTACGATAACACTGACTGAGAGAAAAATAATAGATGAAAAGTAATGGAGGTGCAGTAAAGTCAAATTTCGTTTATGAGAGAGAACGCACCTGGACCAACATCAGAGAGAAGGAAGAGTGGAATGGATTCAGCCGGAAGTCGTCATTCGTTGGAGGGAATAGGAGATATGGCAGAAGCATGATGGAATGTACGGTGTTGCATGCACTAGATTATGTGTATGTATATATACGTACATGCACATTTGCGAAAGTTGAGCTATAAATGGAGGAATCAATCAGAGAAGAGAAATGCTATCCGCTCCTAAAACTATATTACTAAAGTAGTGCATTTCTTTTATCTTGTCGACAGTCTTCTTATTGGCTATTTCACCGCCATCTTGGACCAGTTGTCTGTAGTCCAATAAGCGCTTAGTATTATTGGTATATAGTTATTCCTATATCCATGATATTGATATATGATAAGGTTAGTTGATTCAATATAGCGAACTAATGCGCTACTTTAGTTCTTTAGTAATATAGAACTTTATCCGCTCCACTTTCTTTTGATTTTCTCTGGACACCGACTATAGATATTAAAGACCGACATCCTTACGGGAATTCGCGTCCTTGTGAAATAATTAAGTGTTAAAAACTGATAATATTGTACTAATTTTATGATTTATTAGTTTAGTAGATGTATTTACGCATTTAGAATACTCAATAACTCAATTTTTTTTTAAATTGTGATTTCAGTGTTATCGTCAAAGTTTAAATATCAATAGAGATGATAACTGCAGAGAAAAAATTGTAATTTTTCTGCAATATATAGGATATTATAGCTTTATAGTGTGCATTATTTATGGAATATTTTATGTAATAAAAAATCACTTTAATAATGTAAGAGTCAAATATTTATGTTAATAATAGCAAATTTATACCAATTGTCGATAATGTCGAGGTTCTTCAATTACCTCCGAACTCTTGGGACCCTTTTTATACAGCAAATACATTTTTATACAGAAAATTTGCCCAGGATTGACGATCTTTAATATCTCTCGATGCTCTGGACCAACATGAGTGCGTTCTTTCTAAATGCCCCCCCCCCCCGCACTCTTCAAATTTCTGACAATGCTCGTTCAAGAATTAATTCCGAACGCTACAGAGCTGTAAACTGTCCTTTAGATTATAAAGTGAAATTGTTAATTTTTATAAATAAATAAAAAATACCCTATTAATTAAAAATTTCTTTCGCTTTATTAGAAACTGATACTAATCTTATATACTAAAAATAGATCGTTACACATGATTATAGCAGACTCATATGCAAGGTGTGTTTTCTTAAAAGAAAATACTACATTGCAAAATAAATTTCTGCAATTTATAAGTTATATCACTTGGTTTATATTCGTTAGAATCTTTAATATAATATATTAATACAGTTTTTGATTTTATTTCATTCTATATGTCTCATCTATATGTCAACAAAAGCTTTGATCTAAAAATCCAGATGATTTAGATTTGAAGTCATAGCCTAAACAATCAAGGTCTACTTTTAATCATTTTTTTGTCATCGTATCTCTATAAGTAGTTATCTTTTGTTAGCCTATCTTTAAGAAGAGAGTTTATGTTTTTTGTGTGTATTTTTTTGTTTTGTTTTTGTGTATTTTGTTTGTTGTTGTTTGTTAACCGTTTTATATATATTTTATAACTTTGAAAATGACTCGATCGGGATCGAAACGTTAGTTCTATAGACATATTTTATCTTTGTTTTTACTTTTATGTTTAATGTCAACTGTATCATATTACGTTGAAATTTGTTGTTTTGGCTCGTAGCCCTTTTTAGCACAATTTCATTTCTCGAATATACTTATCATAGTGGTCTATAAAGATATTCTAGAGCGATCTGAAGGAATAATACTTTTATGTACTCGTATAAGATAATCTTAGATGAGCAAAGTAAATTTGGAAAAATCTTAGGTAATCTCAGAAAATGTGACGTAATTTTAAATACTTGTGTAATATGAGTAAAGAAGATAATCTTGTGTAATATGAGATAGTATTTGATAATTTGGAATAATTTGAGGTTAGTACAAGGTAATCTTAAGTTATCCGGCGTAACATAAAGGTAATCCGTATCAAAGGTAATTTTTGTATACTACAATTACTATAGTGACCAATCATTCGGATATATGGCTTTAATAAATTATACAAGATATATTCTGTAAATTTCTCAAGAAATGATTTTCAATTATAACTCAGTGCGAAATATCCGCTTCAATAAATACTTACTTATATCTATAATCACTTATAAATCGTTGATCGGAAAAGTTAATAATTTGCATCAGCCGATCGTCTTTAATTGTTAGTGAAGTATGATCGCATTTCGGTACACGGAATGCTGTTATCTTCCTGCTCCATTGTCGGTGAACGAATGTAAATAAATGATAATTGATAGCATGATGATCTTAAATGACGCGCCGTATGTCAAGTTTTGTTTTTATAAACATTATAAAATGTTCAACGTATTGTAAATGAAATATACGCCAAATATTATATAATCAATGATCATGAATTATTAAGAAGAAGGACCTTGGACTCAATGACACAGATGAATTCGGTGCGTCAAATATGTCGATGTTTATATGCTTAAATGTATGACCTTAATGTTTTCTGTTGACTGTTGATATAATAATGTTAGTATGAAATAAGTCGTAGCACTGAGCATTATGGCTAACTATAGTAATTCACAAGTTCTGGATATTTTGATAATTTTCGGTGAATGTGAAAGATGTGCAGTTGAAATGACAAGAATGTCAAATGATATCCAGATAGACATAAATATAGTGTTCGTTCAATTTTACGGATTATATTACGAGCAAGACAATTGTGTTTGGTATATTATATGTAAGAAGAAACCGTCACCGCGACCACATTATGAGAGAGACAATGAAGCAATGTAGTTGCCGTTTTGACAGCGATTAATTTGAATCCGCATATAAGCATCCATGGAATTTTAGAAGAAATACAATTACCATTTTCTTTAATACAAAGAATTTTAAATTCTTTCTAGACATTACCATACATATCACATAAATCTTAATCAAGAACTTTACAGAATAGATTTCAGAATTTTCGAAACAATAAATTTTTATGCCTTGTCATATGGTAGAACAAAATCCAGAATATTTCCATAAATACTGTATGTTTTTCCAATGAAGCGACATTCAAGAGTAATGGTAATGTAAATCGGCATAATATACATTATTGGTAAACAAAGAATTCACATTGGATGAGACAAATTGATAATCAACGAATTCGAAGTGAAAATATTTAGTGCGGTATTTTAAATGGCTGTATAATTGGACCTTATATTTTCGAAAAAATACTAAATGGTGCAATTTACCATAATTTCCTTGAAAACCATTTGCTAATATTATTAGAAAATGTGAAATTACATATTCGATGACAAATGTGTTTCAATAAGATTACTTTCAATCTAGAAAATTTTCAATCTAGTGCAAAAATTTTCCCTAAATGGTTCTATTTTAATATCAGATTCGTATTCAGCAACTCAAAATACATAAGAATAGCTGGGTCTCCAGCCTAGCACAGGATACTTTTTTTTGTGAGCTTATGTAATTAAATCGGTCACTTATACGAACCACCCTGTACATTAAATATAATTATAATTTTAATAATATAAAATTAAAATTTTGTAAAAATGCAACGACTTGATAATTTTATTCCCTTAATTTATCACATAACCTTTTATCCT